TATGACGGGAAAATACCACCCCTTAAGCCAAGCGTCATGGACTCAATTCGAACTGTTAGTGGTCAGCCTATGCCTATTCGGGGAGTCCTACAGACTGACATCGAAATTGCTGGTGGTCAATATCCTTGTGACTTCAAAGTGATAGACGGACTGGACTACAAAGGAGTCCTTGGCCGAGATTTCTGCTATGCCCAACAGGCACAAATCAGTTTTGGAACTCTAACAATTGCCTTGAAGAACCCCCCGACAGTACTCTTTTCGGACGCTTTAGTGGCAGTGGTAGCACCATCAACGTACGTTATTCCGCCCAGAAGTGAAGTAGTGTTTCCAGCTAGTATACTCGAAAAGACCGCACCTGGTGTTACCGGTCTCGTAGAATCCTCTCCACAAATGGCAGAGCGTTATCAGCTACAGGGAGCAGCTGCTTTGGTAAAGATTGCAGATGATCACACGGTGCCGTTCCGTCTCATTAACCCGACAAGTCAACCAGTCACTCTGCAGAAAGGTGCTACCTTGGGCACTTTTTCCGAAGCCTCACGGAGATTCCGGAGTACTCCCTTTTAAAGAATCTGCTACGGATCCACAGAATCCAGGACCATTGGACTCAGTCCCAGTTGATCTGGATAATTCTGCACTGTCGTCCAGCGGAACAGTCGCGTCTGCGAGAGCTCCTGCAAGACTACCGAGATATTTTTGCAATACACCCCGACGAGCTTGGGCGTACCAACATCGTCCAGCACCATATCGAAACAGGTGACCACCCGCCTATACGATCACGCCCTTACCGGGTGCCATATGCTCAGAAAGAGACAATAGAGAAACACATTGAGGACATGCTTCACCGTAACGTCATCCAACCGTCTGTATCTCCATGGGCCAGTCCAGTAGTCCTCGTGCCTAAATCTGATGGTTCTTCCAGATTTTGTGTGGATTTCCGTAAGGTTAACAAGATAACCAAAAAGGATTCTTATCCTCTACCGTTGATATCCGAAAGCCTTGACGCCTTAGGAGGAGCCAAGTTCTTTTCGAGTCTTGACTTGGTTTCGGGATACTGGCAGGTTGAAATGGACCCCGCTTCTCGTGAGAAGACTGCTTTCGTCACGCATGCAGGATTGTACGAATATACCACAATGCCTTTTGGGCTCTGCAACGCCCCTGGAACCTTCCAGCGATTAATGGAATGTGTTCTACGCGGACTCAACTGGCAGATTGCACTCATCTATCTTGATGATGTATTGGTATACTCTCAAAACTTCGAGGACCATCTACACCATCTACGCTTGGTCTTCGACAGATTCCGCGAGGCTGGCCTCAAACTCAAGCCGAGTAAGTGCCATTTTGGGCAAAAGGAGGTAAAATACCTGGGTCACGTGATCACTACCGAGGGAATACAACCAGATCCCAAGAAAGTCAAGGTCGTTCAGGAATATCCTGCCCCAAAGTCCGTCAAAGAGGTACGAGCGTTTATGGGCCTGACAAATTATTATCGTAAGTTTGTCAAGGGGTTCGCTCAGGTTGCCAGTCCGTTACATGACTTGACAAAGAAGGGTGCGTCGTTCCTCTGGACTGAAGATTGTCAAAAGGCTTTTGACACGTTAAAGAAGGCCCTCACTGAAGCTCCAATACTTGCCTATCCTGACTTCACGCAGTCTTTTCAGCTGGCCACCGATGCAAGCAATGATGCCATAGGCATGGTACTTGGCCAAAAGCAGAACGGAAGAGAAGTAGTCATAGCTTACGCCGGAAGGAAGTTGAATCCCGCCGAACGAAACTACAGCGTCACGGAACGTGAAGCCCTGGCAGTTGTTGAAGGGGTTAAACAATTCCAACATTACGTGTATGGACGGCAGTTTACAGTACTAACTGACCACAGCGCTGTCCGTTGGTTGATGAACATCAAGGAACCTACCGGTCGTCTGGCACGTTGGGCCCTTCTCCTGCAGCAACACGACTTCACTATCCAGCATCGCTCTGGGCCGACCAACGGTAACGCTGACGCCCTTTCTCGTCGACCCTACGAATCAGTCGTCGCCGCCCTCGATCAGCCTGGTGTACAGGTTGACCGCGTAAGAGACGCTCAACGTCGAGACCACACCTTGGCTGACATCATTAGCTACTTAGAGGAAGAGAGTCTGCCCAATAACAGTACTGCAGCAAAAGCCGTCTTGCATTCCATTGACAACTATTATTTGGACCCTGATGGACTCCTCTGTCACATTTGGGTACCGGGAGGTCGACGTGTCCCCGGGATTCGCTCTCAGCTGGTCATACCTACTTCGCTAAGGCAGGAAATTTTGATTGGAGGTCACGACGATCCCTTGGCAGGTCACTTAGGAGTGAACAAGACTTATGAGAAACTCCGTGAACGTTACTACTGGCCTAAAATGTTTGCAGACGTACAATTTTGGTGTCTTTCTTGTACACATTGCCAGATGAAGAAAAGCCCTAAACAGCGACAGACAGCCCCCCCATCTTACCGATACCAGTAGAAGGTGCTTTTGATCGGGTAGCTGTTGATTGCCTTGGCCCCTTTCCTGTGAGTGACTCTGGAAATCGCTACATTGTCGTGTTTTCTGATTATCTGACCCGTTACCCAGAAGCCTTTGCTGTACCCACGATTGATGCCCGACAATCGCAGACTTGTTGGTCAATGAAATTCTACCCCGTCATGGCGCCCCTCGTACATTGCTCTCAGACAGAGGGTCTAATTTTCTCTCCCGCTTGGTAAAGGAGGTTTGCTTCCTCATGGATACAAAGAAAACGTTTACAACAAGCTATCATCCTCAATGCGACGGCCTTGTCGAACGATTCAACGGAACTTTAGCACAGAGCTTATCACACTACGTCAATTCTTCTCAGAAAGATTGGGACCGCTATTTAAACCCAGTACTTTTCGGCTATCGTGTCTCACCGTCAGAAGTAACTGGTGAATCGCCCTTTTCCTACTCTATGGAAGACAACCTAGACTCCCTATGGATGTTTCCATGCTTCCGCCTCGAGAAGTCTCTGCTTCAATTGCGGAACATCGCGCACGAGTAGTAGAAAACATCGAGATTGCACATCGCATTGCAAAAGAGAATATACAGCGCGCTCAGCAGCGCATGAAAGATTATCATGATGTTCACGCCGTTCCTATCAGGCATCAAGTTGGTGACAGTGTCTGGGTTTACACGCCGCGCAATCGGAAGGGGTTATCTAAGAAATTAGCCCATAATTGGCATGGACCTTACAAGATTGTTGAATTCTTGTCCCCAGTTCATTGTATCTTACGGGCCACCGACAACCGCCGTGTCTCCACTACCGTCCACGTTTCTCGTCTCAAGCGTTACGTTTCACCGGATTCGCGCCCTATTCGCCAACCACCAGAGCTTGTTGAAGAATCTTATTTGGCTGAGAATGATTTACCGTCGGACAGCTTTGTAACGGACAACAATGAAGTGCTTCCTGAATCTCCCACCCCTGACCAAGAGGTTAACACTGGACAACCAATACCAGACACCGACGAATGTGCGACTGGCTCCTCTCCTATTCTTCAGGAAACTCGTCCCCAGGCTGCTCCTCTCACTCGTTCGCAAACCTCTGAAACCAGGAGCCCCATTCCCTCGGTGTTACAAGCTCAGGAGGACGATTCTCCACGCTTATCCAGCGACCCTACCCCAGTTCCAGACAACGTCTACCAAGTTGAGAAGTTGCTCAAACAAAGGCTGAAAGATGGAGAACACCAGTTCTTGGTTAAATGGCTAGGGTTTCCTTCGAGCCAAAACTCTTGGGAACCGGCTGACAACATTCTTGACAAGCGCTTGATCGCGACCTTCTATAAGAACCACCCGCGTGCTAATCGCTTCCAGGATTCAAACTTTCATGCACGAATAGCACCTTTGAGTATGGTGGACGCCCCGACTGACAACCCTATAATTGCAGCTTTGTCTGTCCAACAGAACACTATGCCTGAGAAGTCCTGGAGCCGGTCATCGACCACACGCTTTACCCTGCCTCATGTACGAAGTCACGAAACGCCTTCGAAACAAGATGTCGCCAGATGTCATGTACGCGTCACGAAGCGTCTACCGTCTGTTCGCACAAACCCAGTCCCCGTAGTGCCACCGGGAACCGGCTGTCACACACCTATCTACCAGAGGAGCCATGGTAACATGTCAAAACCGCCCCTACGCCTTTTCTGGAAATTATTATTCATACTATCATGCTTGGCTATCGACACCGTGATGACTCAAGAGTATGATGAGTCTGGCAAGAGAATCACATTTTTTCCCGATAGTTTGATGATGGCACTCAATCCTCGCCCACTCATTTTTTTTAATGACACGAAGTTAGTCAGTATTCACGCCGATTTGAAAGTGCTCCCGCGAGGAGTTCTCCCAAGGCCTAATATAACATGTGACCCCGTGCAAACGGCGTTTTATGCGAACATTCTCGACTCAGTCGCTAGCCTCCGCCGCACAACACACCGCTTACATTCCTTGCAGGGAGTAACTAATCTTTTGGAATGTGACAGTTTCCTACGCCGTTTTTATGTTTACTCCACTGGAATCCCCTCGCGGATGTTTTGCCCTACACGACATTACGCCAATAGTTTGCAGGAATGCAAATCATGGGCACGTGCTACCTGCCGCGTGTCGGCACCCGATGAACTCGCGTGGCTACGGTCACGTCAGCCACGTAGTCCTTTTGTGTGCCATATGGGAGTTTTTGGCTTATTTCGGGCATTGTACCATGTCTTTACCAGGAAAAGTTGCGATACCTCGCAGGGCCCTAATTTAATCTCGGTTCTTCGCCAAACAGCAGACACGATGTCCGTTAACCAACAACTTACGCGCGTGGTCAATGGGAAAGTCACGTACCTCGTTAAGACAACGGATACACTTAACACAAAAGTTAAACAAATAATTAACTCCATGCGTGCCTTGGACCGCTCGTTTACCACCTGGAACCAGCAGGTTGTCAAGCAATTCAAGGAAGAACAATGCCATTATCACGCTAACATGGAATTTCTGTCTCTATACTCTCTTCAGATGAACCGCGTTGTGAGCGCTATGTTACGGCTTACAGAAATAGAAGATATTTTACGCCAGCTGTCGCATCTCACCCGCAAGGATCTCATTAGCTTTGCAGATCTACCACGCTTCTTAACAATGGAACTAAACGTCCGACTAGCCGCAATCCCGACACTAGTGCATACGCTCGATGCACTGAAATCGGGGTTTGCAGCGATCATTCAGCCGCTGGTGGATTATGAGTACCAACATAATAAGAAACTTCAACTCAATTTATTATTCACGCTGCCAGAAATTTCGTCTTCTCAATCGCTTTGCACCATAGAACAATTACGGCCAATTACGTATCGACATAATGGACATTGTTTCGGTGGGCCGCTACCTTTTGATGACCTGTTGTTGTTAACCTGTGACAAGAAACGTTACCTGCTCAGAGCACCAGAACTGGACAAGTGTTTTCAAGACGACACCACCATTCTTTGTCCCGGAAATCTTTTACACACCGTTCAACAGCCAACATGGCTCGGGTTACCTTGGACGCCGTCATCGAAGATTGCTTTCAAACAATTTCATCAGACTCTCTCGCACTGTCGTCATACACCCTCCATGCTATTACTTGGTGGCCGTTACTATCTTAGCACTAGGTTTCACAATCTTACTTTGTATTCGCCTACTTCCGCCACGCACCTGTCCCTGACACCGTTATCAATAATTCACGTCCCCTGTAATACCTCGTTTCAATATCAAAAGGGTGGTTTAGGCACTTGCCCAAAACACCTGCGTTTTTCATTTCCGGTTTTTCGGGAAAACCATTTTACCTACGTTCCCTGGGCAATCACCACTGAAACCAACGTTAACATTTCGGCACCCCACATCCCACTTCCGTCGGATTTTACGGTCGATAATTCCACGCTCGTTTCTCTTGATAATACTTACGACCTTCTCGACCATACTCTTACACAACGCATCACGAAACTCAAAGCTGACATCAATCGGCTTCAACCCAGTTCCACTACTTCCGTCAACGACGTCTTTACTTATCTCGCTTTCACCTTCGCCCTTATTAATTTTTTTTCGCAGTTCTAATTCTCTTTCGTCGTACTCACCGACCACGCCAACCAATACAAATACCGCCCATTCCCTTGTTAACCCGTGGAACTACCATGCAAGACTAATCACTCTTCACGTTATTAAATTTCGCACTTTCCAGTTTCGTTGCCACCTAAGCGTATTTTGTGATTCCCTTTTCTTGACCGCCCATTGTCTTCTCTCCTATATAATTCACCCCTTTTCTTTCCCCTCTCACTTGTTACCTCCATTTGCTGCGTCACTCCAGTTAGACGAGACGTCCTCTACGATTATGGCTCAATTCCTCGATGTGATAGTGACCGTCGATGGTTTCCAGCATGGAGAGGATGAATTTACGCTCAAAGCCATGGCCGTCGTCGCTCCTTCAGTTACATTCCAGTGGTCAAATGTATACCACACTGCGTTCCTGGAAGACCGCCCGGGGCCATCTCTCAAACTTATCGCACCCAAACTGACCATCATGGCCTAGCACTTGGGACTCCCGGAGCCGCGCAGTACACGGCGCCAGATCATCTGCGCTGGGCTCTGTGCCGAGCACAGGTAGCGTACCTCCAACAACGACGTCTACCGTCTCCGCCAGTCCGGATCTGGACGAAGGGGCTCCCCAACGCATGTTTTATCGCGACGTTGCTACCACAGTACGCGCCTGAAGTTAGAAACCTCGAGGACATCGGCTGTCCGGCCTTCCGGAGGCTGTTGAGCGGACAAGACGACCAAACAACTCCGGACACGCTGTTTAAGGCCCTGTCCCTGGCTGCTTGGGTCGAAGCCCACCATTCCCGCAAACATCCGTAGGCTGTGACGTCTTCTTGTACCTATTTAATTTTTGTAACTAACAATGCGCCGTCTTTCAGTTTTTTTTTCTCTCGTTATGTATTAACTTATTAGCTTAATTACCTTTCGTACTTGCTGTTGCTTAATTTGAACCCCCGAGGCCCTTATATTTCGGCTTGTTCGGTTTATGCCGCGGTTCAGGCACAAAACAAAATCAAATACAAAATTCATAAAACAACAAACAAACAAACAAACAAAAAAATTCCTATAGTTTTACTTCGCTGCACTTTTTTTTCGTTTCTTGTATTTATTATGCCTTCTCCTTTTTCGCTCGACCAGGAGGTCTCGATTTAAGGTGGGAGGAATGTAACGATAGGATTTTTAGTTATCGAGTTCTTTCATGCTTGCGCTTCAAAAATACAATATTCAACGTAGAAAGCTTAGATCAGCAAAGCGTAAACGCTACCAGTTCTCCTTCAGTCACCCGTAAACAGTTGTTATTAGTGTTAAACTGTAACAGCCACCTGTCATGTCCTTTTGTGTAACTGTTATCCACCGGAACTCTTTAAAAGTAATTAATATTGTAAAAGGCGAAATTCCTACTAAGCCAATAGTTTAGTAGATTACATGATCCTTTAGATTATTCATGACATTACGTTATCCATGTACGTTAGGTTTAAATAGGACTGTTCTGTAAAGCTTAGGAGTTGGGTGAGAAAGTGAGGAAGAGAACGGGGTCGAACCCGCCCTGGCCAGGTCCGTTCTGGTCAAAATTGTAGTCGAGCTTGCGGAATAAATCTACGTTGGAGCCAACCCTGTTGTTGTTAGTCATTCTCTCAAGGATAGTCAGCAGCCGTAATAGATTCCGGTTACCTTCCCGCAGCCAGCGAGTGCCCCCAAGGAGAGCCTTTACCCACAAGAGTTTTAAGAGTTATCCCCGTCCGTCCGTTCATTTGTGAAGGCAAAACCCTGTTTTCACAGCTGGCTGGAGATGATGAAATACAACTATCACGAGGTGTCAGCCAAGAGCTTTTATAATATCGTCGAGAGAATGGCTAAGAATCTGTATGGTGAACCACCCGCTGGATTTACATTGTTTAGAACATTTTGCATGATTGACTTTAAAAAGTTTGAACATTTTTATTCAACTCAAGAATGGAAGTGTTTACTTCGTAATTTAAATAAAATCCATTCTTATTACATGGATTTCAAACATGCCATTCCAAAGTCTGGCTTGGATAAAGATTTTGTGTTTTTTGTAAGAACACCATCTCATTTTAGTTAATAAAAAAACGTTTGAAAAGAAAAAAGAAAAAAGCTATTTACAGCGTTGTTAAAAAAAAAGGCTATTTACAGTTAAAAAATAAAAGTTTTTAAAACTTGCCATATTCCTTAAAGAGTTTCTGTAGTTCTTCTTTTTTTTTTGGTAAACCCTACATCTGCCCATTGAAAGAATCGACATCCACCTCTGTTTCGGCAACCAAAAAGGGTCTTCCTGGGTTTAGACTTGACTCACTTACTCTCAGGGAAGCCTGATTGTTGCATTCACACATAACAGTTCCCTTAAGATTCCTGTAGGTATTGTGCACCTTTCTGTTAAGCATTCCCATGTAGGCGTTTTGCAAATTTCTAGATGAAAAGACTCCACATTCTCGTGAGAAGGGGCATTTCACATACCATTCTTTGTTAGAGTCGGCTTGAAATAATTCCAACTTGACTGGGTGGAACAGGCAAACATTGAGGTCATACTGTTTCTCAGCCAAAACAGTAGTCACTGTTGTAGGTGACACGGTTGAATTAGAAGTTGTGGGGGAAACGTCAAACCCCAT